GCCCTGGCTCTCCCAAGTCCCGACTGGCTTGATGGTCCTTTATCACTTCCCTTTCCATCGCCGTGCTTTGCCTCCTCGTCCACACATGATTGGAGCACCGGGATTCCCTCTATTTCCCTCTGTACAAGGGCGTCCCAGCAATAGGCTACGTCGCTAGATTGCGTCCTAAGTGGAGCTTAAAACGAAGAGAGAAGACTAGATAGTGAGGAAGTAATCCGTAGTCGATTTCACGCAGAAGAGAGCACGCAGGCAGAAGAGAGTTGAGTGATTAGTGTCCAATCATCGTCTAATTAAGGCTGTTCTAAACTGTGTAATTAGGCGAAAAAATTTGGCAAAAAATGTACTGACGAGAAAGCTAAATAGCAATATTTTTCTTATCTTTTCTCCGTCAATGGTGATTTCATTCTTCTGCATTGTAATCTAGACGCCCTAAGCGCAAGTTTAATAAGAGCAACTCCAGTATAGAGTCTCTTCTAGAGCCCTCAAATTCGTGGACACCCAAATCCTCTGTGTGCGTGGGACCCCACCCGTGGCGGCGCGACTCTCTCCTCCAACAACACGTGGAATTTGAAAGGATCAAGATGCCCAAAAATTGCGTAATTAAATTTTTTGCAATTTTTATTTATATTTAATGTTTTATCAAACTAATGCACAACAACCTCGCAACCTATGTTCCAAACTTACTCTAGCAAGATTCTATGGATGAAACAAGTATTGAATTGCTCAAAGTAAATCTCAAAGTAAGTTTAGAGAGAGAGCAAAATTTTATGGAACTAAACTAGTCCTCGTTGGAGAGTGAAAAGGGTGGCCCTTGATGTAATGTCAAATCTCTGAGTTGATTAGAAAGCTATCAATAGCAATATTTGTTCTGATATCAAGCTCCCAATTTCCTAGGTGATGGCGATCACCAAGAGTAACAAGGTCACTTGACCACGCAAAGGTGAGATTCATTCTTGATTCACTAATGAGGTTTCACTCTTGGATTCTCAAATCACAAACACCTCACTAGGACCTTGACGCACTCACAAGCGTGCAAGTTTAATAAGAGCAACTCACGAGTGGAGCCAGAAAAATGAATAGAGTCTCTTCTAGAGCCCTCAAATTGACCGGGGGACACCCAAATCCGTGATCTGTGTGGTGGACCCCCCCCGTCCGTCGCTCTTGGATGCTGACTCTCTCCTCCAACAACACGGTGCTCCCCAAGCGACGCGCGATCACACTTTCTCCCTCCCCTTTGGAGTCGACAACGTGACTCACTCCCCTGACTCTTCCTCCGGACTCCAGACTTGTTCTCCTTGGACCGGACCCCCGACAAACGTCGATATTTGACCCTCCATTCACCCTCCCAATGGCCTAACTTAGGCATTCTAGGAGCTACCTCAAGTGTGCACCACAGTCCTAGGTCAACTTTTGAGAAATTCAATGACAATCGGATCCAACTTCAATGACATAGATCAGTTATCCTTAACCTTGTCGTCCGTGCGATTTAGAATGAATTTGATCGGGCTCTATTTCATGACCTAAGCCACAAAACACACGTTAGTCATAGTAATCTTATATTGACATTAATCATGAAATCCAAATAGAGCTCCTCAACGTGAAAGTGGGGGAGCGCCCGAACAACTCACCCCCCTCCCTCCCAAAAGTAGAGGCCTAGGTGTTTTGTTTGAGAAATTCAATGGGCTAATCATTACGTGTTAGAGTTGCTCTAACGATCTTATAGTCAAGCGCTCAATTAAAAGTTAGTTAGGCTAATCTTTGGAGTTGCTCTAACGATCTTATAGTCAAGTTAGTTAGTTAGTATGTCTTTGGTAACGTGAAGAAAAGAAGGAGAAGAGTGAGAGGAGAGCTCGTCTCTCATAAAAGCAACAAGCCAACCATAAGAGCTTGTAGTGGTAGGTCTAGATAACAAGTAGATATGAGGAGAAATATGAAATAGAATGTTAGTCATGGGTAAAGAGTAATATCATAGCATAGTAAAAATTGTAAACAAATAAAAGACAATTGTTGTATACTTTGGATCTTACAATTTTACTTATAGCCTAGCACTTGACCTTTTTATTAGGTTGACTCTAAGATCGTCTCCATTTCTCACGAAAACTCAAAACCAAGGCCTAGGGGATTGTTCGACTCTTGTTCGTCCTATTTTATAGTCTCAACTTCAGCAGCCCCCCCCCCTCAATTAGGGCCATTACTTTTTTTTTTTTTATTATTTCAGGCTTCTCCTGTGTTTAGTTGCTCTATTTTCTAGACATAACTTTAGCTGGGGCGCCAAATCAAGACCCATATTTTCCGTTTACAATGTTTTTTAATTAGCTCTGTGTGAAGTATGGATTTGAGTCGACTTTAAAATAAAACATGGTGAGTTTACATGAATGACCTATATTTAAATCCACGAATTCAAAAACAACATTTCAAATTTTCAAAGACAATTCATCACATCAATCAAACTAGGTGACGCTATGAGCCTAGGGGGAAGCCTCGAGGAATAAGGATTTTGGGTAGATAATTTATGAATCCCTGCTTTTAGGGACCTGAATAAAGACCCTGCAGTATTTTTTTTTGGGTCTCCAGCACCGATTAAATAGGATGGGAGGCTGAGTAGAAAACTAGTACCGTTCATCCGTCATCCCCATGTCCGCAACAAAAATACTACCGAGGGAGGCCACAACGTGATGTGATCAGTTCGCGTCTGTACGTGAGCAGGACCACCGTTTGCCGTCGGAGAGCGAAGGCGTATCCTATCATCATCCGTAACAAATACTACCAGAAAGAAATTCTCTCGCAAGTCGAGTTCGCAGCGGCCGGGTCCCCCCTTCTTCCCGGACGGCAACGTGACAGCGCGACGTATCCATCCAGATCTGCCGTACAGAGAACAGAGGCGGCAGCTGGCAGCAGAAAAGCCCCCGGCCGCTGCCGGTTGGACTTTGGAGTCGTAGTTCCAGGTCAAAAGCTTCGTTCACCGGTCTCGGCGTTTCTTTTTTTCTCCTTCAGTCCTTCCTTCCTCCAGTAGTTGACGCGGAAGGCAGCAGCACAGAGTATTCATTTCAGAGACGACGACGACGTCGACGTGTTTACGCCAGATCCTGGGAGATATATAGTATATAATTAGTGTTGGCATTACGGTTCTTGGACTAGATAGACCATGTGTTGTGTCTCTTTCAAGACTCGCCGTAGTGAGTGGTTTTAGATATAATTAGTGTTGGCATTATGTTCTGGACTTTATAATACTCCCCCAGCTTGCACGGAGCAGAGGCTGTTATTATTGATTGATCTGCATACAGATTGGGAATCTTGGCGAGTGACAGGGCTTCCGTTTTTAGGAAACCACCAGACGTATCTATATATATATATATATATATATATATATATATATATATATATATATATATATATATATATATATATATATATATATATATATATATATATTTATTTATTTCCAGGATTTATGCGGTCGCTGCTGGATGCTACTACTGTGGGTCCACAGCTACTTAGCTAGCTGCAGAGGCAGGTTGCTGAACAGCTGACCAGACCGATCAATCTCACAATTCTCAATTGGTACCAATCTCGCAGTTAAGAGCTAGTAGTTTTTAGATAACCGGAATAGACGCACTGTTCGCTTAGACCTATCAGCCAGAATCGGTTCTATATTTTTCAATTATAAAAACAGTGTTTTTCTCTCATATAAAATTAGTCTTATAAATCAGCCGCGGCAGCAATAAGTTCTACCGAACAAAACCACCTAAAGATTAAAGTTTAGTCTTAGACTATTCAAACAGGTAAACTAAAAAGGTAAACTCAATTTTAGTTTAACCTAACTAGCTGTCATTCTATCTCTTTAATTAGTCTATATACATCCAAACAATAAAGACTAAACTTTAGTCATCTAGTTTTTCATCTAAACTTTAGTTGGACTAATAAATATTCCATGTGATCAAATAGGTCCTAAATCTTCAAGTAGTATTTGGTAATCTTATTTGTACTTTTAATATTAAATAAAAAGAGATTCTTCCGACCGATTTATTTTACTTCTAATAGTGTCCTCACAACCTTCACTATCTTGTACGCGACCTGAACTCAGGATCCGTGCGTGTTCGCATATTCAGCGATAGTACAGAGTCTAATATCCGTGCGCGGCACCATGTGGTCGGCCCGCCTCCCCTCCCCACCCAATAGCCCGCGCCGGCACTCCCCGGCGACTGACTCGCTGCCCCCGCCTGACTGCGACCGCGGAGGAGCGACCGGCGTGCGACGGGACGCGGCAGATGGAGACCTCCACTCACGCCGCACATATTCCCCGTCTGTTGCGAGTGAGTGGGCTTGTCATTTCGTCGATACCCTTTCGATATTTATTTTTTTTAAATTAAGCTCCCACCATTTTCCTCCTCCACTCGTGTGTGAATTCTCAGCTTTACGTCTCGTACTTCAATGTCTCTCCATTGTTACACTAGTTTCTACTAGTACTAATACCCCTGGCCAGCCTTCTCCTCCTCTCGTAGCAGTACTAGGCACTAGTAGGCAGTACCCCTAGGCTACTCAGCGCTACTGTTTGCAGATAAAAAAATGCACTAGTAGTCTAGTAGCAGTACCTGAAGCTCCAAAAATGATGCGCTGTTGTGCTGTTGACCTCCGCCTGGCCTAGTCTGCGTTTCCATATATAGAAAAACCACAGCTCTCTAGACCACCACCAGAGCAGAGCAGAGCAGACCACACCACTTCCCCTCACCTCATCACCTCTCTCGTGGCGACGGCGGCCGACCTGTCGCTGACGCTGGCGCCGGCGCCTCCCGCGCCGCCTCCGGCGGGTCCCGGGGGCGGAGGCGGAGGAGGCGTGGCGACGGCGTGCGTGGACGGCAAGGACGTGCGCCTGTTCCCGTGCCTCTTCTGCAACAAGAAGTTCCTCAAGTCGCAGGCGCTGGGGGGCCACCAGAACGCGCACAAGAAGGAGCGGAGCATCGGCTGGAACCCCTACTTCTACATGACCCGGCAGTCCACCAATGCGGCGCCGCCGAGCCCGACCGGCCTACGCCGGCGTCGGCGTCGCGGGCGCGGGCGCGTCGTCTGCGGCGGCGGGTGGCCTCCTCCCCGCGTCGTCGTACGCGGGCCACGTGTACGCGCCCGTGCCCGCGCCGTTCCCCATCGCCTCGCACAGCTCCAGCGGGCTGCAGTACTACGCGCCCCACCCCCACGAGGGAACAGCGGCGGTGTCGGCGGGGGCGGGGGCGGCGACGACGGCGACGGGCGAGGCCAGCAGCGCGGGCGTCGTGCTGGCCCCGCGCGCGCGCTACGCCACGCACCAGGCGGCCGAGCAGCCCGGCGGCGCCGGCCGCGACGACCTGATCGACATGCTCAACTGGAGGAGGGGCACCCATGGCACCACGGCCTCGGCGGCCGCCACCACCGCGTCGCCAGCCAGCACCACCACCACGCTCACCACCTCCTGCGCCGGCGCCGGTGCCGACGGCGGCAGCAGCAACAACGACGCCGGGGGGGAGCTCGACCTCAACCTCAGCCTCTAGCACTAGCAGTTCCGTCGTCGTCGACCTACGCTACACCAAGCCAAGGTTATTCTTAATCATGTGCCGCCGGCCTATCCGTACGCCACGCGTGTCACTTAATTAGCTCTTAGTAGGCACGTTAATCACTCTCCCTCTTCTCTCTCCTCCCCTGTATGTCATGTTATTAGTACGTCTCGTCATCCATTCTCCCGTGCCTTTTGCCATGGCCTGATGAACTGTTGCTGTTCATCTTCTTCTTGTTTTCTTTTTCTTGAGGATTTGTTTGCCCGCTTGGTCCTCGTTGCGGCCTCCGGTTGTTTGTTGGGGGTTCGCCATTGCCTCGCGTGTATTGGGACTGCTGTCTGGCTGTCAGCTGCTGGTCCGGCGCGCGGCAGCCATCAGCCCAACAGTGCCAACGCCGCGCCGTCGCTGTTGAGCCTCTGCTCGCCATGGGCATGTCAATGTTACGCCACGTTTTTTGTGCCGGTGCGGTCCGTTCCGTTGCATCTACCGTTGTACCTACTGTGCCTGTACCACCTGATCGATCTGTCCACGCATTACTTGTCGCCGTCCGGCGGGCGGCGGGCGGCGAAGGGGTGAGATCCGTCTCGTCGTCGCTGTGCATGCTGGCCGGACGGGGGGCAGCCCAATCAATTTACTGATGCTATTGGATGGGGGTGCTGAGGGGTACATGTACCACTGTGTACAGAGCAGCGATATCTGTTCGGTCCGCGTCCCATCTTGCTGGATCGTGTTTAGGAACTGGATGCGCGATCTACCGGGCCGCAGTGTTCGGACAAGGACTAAAATTTAAAATTTAGGCGGCGTGTCGGGAGAACGTTGTATGGGTGGTGTTCGGATATTAATAAAAAAATAAATTACATAATTCGTCAGTACTCTATGAGACGAATTTTTAAGCTTAATTAATTCGTCATTAGCATATGTTTACATGTAGCACCACATTGTTAAATCATGGACTAATTAGGCTTAAAAGATTCGTCTCGCAAATTAGTCATAAACTATGCAATTAATTTCGTAATTAGTCTATATTTAATATTTCCATGCATGTGTCTAAACATTCGATAGGACAGCGACTAAAATTTAGAAGGACAGCAAACACCACCCTACTCGACTCAGTATCATATAATCGCGCTATACGAGTGGTATTTTTTTGTTATGTACGGAGCACTGTACGTATTATATTTATCTTGTACTGTGCCAATATAGTATAGTAGTAGTAAAACAGTAATAAAAAAATGTAAATGCAGGCATGCAGCACGTACTACACTTGACTACTGAGGGCCATGGCGCCGCGCAGAAGTAGCAAGTTCTAGGATGCGTTGCTGTCCGTGTCTTCTGCAGGAGTAAGGACGGCCAAGCCAACTTGCATCAGTTCCGTTTTCCAAAAAAAAAAAGAAGTTGCATCAGTTCGTCACGAGCCCAAGGGACAAAACCCGGTGCTGTCTGCGGTCCAATGGCGCCGGAGCCCGGTGGGTGGACCTGGTTGCCACTTGCCACCTGCGCGCGCTGGGCCCCGCCGGCGCATGCATGATCCAATAGTACGAACAGGAGTCGCGGCAGCGACATGGGCATGGGCAGTGCCCGGCCGCAGCACAGGGGAGCCGTCGGATCTGATCCTCTGCGGCCCGATCGATCGCAACCGGACCCGCCGAGACACCGATTGAGCGCGGCGCGACAGAAACACTTGGCCTTGCTTGCCCCTTGGGAGGGTCGAACCGCCAGCCAGCCAGAGCGCGCCTCGGACGGTACGGGGTGGGGGCACGCCGGCACGGCCGCATGGGGCGGCAGCCGGCCAGGGCAGGGCACACCGGCACAGGGCGCTGGAGTGAGGAGTCGACGGCTGGCCGTTCTTGCCGCCGGCGTTCCACTTCCACGGCCCGCGGCCCGGCCAGTTTGTCCCTGTCGCGCCGCGCATCAACCGCGCTCAGGTCAAGCACTAGCAGAGCTCTCCACCACCTCCACAGTCCGGTCCGTACGCGCGCGCCTAGATTCGCTGACTGACGGACCGACTTGCCGGAACCAGCATGTGGTTCGTGGTGTTTCTGCCGTATCGATCCGCAGTGCGGATCCACACACGACGAACACCAGCCCGGCCGGGGGACGGGGAACGGACACGGCATGTGAGCGTGGCGGGCCTGCCGTCAGCAACGGACAGGGAGAGGCCGCCCGGCCCGGGAGGGGGGCGCCACCGTGCCCTATTCGTTTGGCTGGTAAATCATGGTTTGTTAGCTAAAAAAATACGGTTTATAAGCTAAGTGAACAGAGCTGTCTTATAAGCTAAGTGAACAGCGTCTCGCTCGTGACGCCGCTGCCGCTGCCCGAGCCCGAAACGAGAGTGGTTGGCCGTTGGCGGGCGCTGCCGCTGCGTGCTGACGAACCCGGCCGCGGCCGGATGGGGGCCTTGCTTGGTCCCGGCACTGCAGCGCCCTTGTACCCATGCGCAGCTCAGCGGTTTGTGGTTCTGTTCGGGCAGTGCAGCGCCTGTCTCGTTGCTCGCCGCTCGTGCGTGATTCTCTGTGGCAACGCACTCCTTCCGTGCCCCGCGTGTGCTTCATCTTCTGCCTGTCGTGTAGCGGCTCCAAGAGACGAGATCGAGTGAGTGTGAGATCGATATCTTTTCGTACAGGTTCCCCTTGAAAATAAGGCCTTGTTTAAATTCATACAGTAAAGTTTCGCGGATGTTCAGATACTAATAAAAAATAAATTACAGAATCCATCAGTAATTCACGAGACGAATTTATTAAGTCTAATTAATTCATCATTAGCACATGTGTTACGGTGGCACCATGTTATCAAATCATGAACTAATTAGATTTAAAAGATTCATCTAACAAATTAGTTGCAAACTATATAATTAGTTAATTTTTAATTTATATTTAATACTCCATGCATATATCAAACATTCGATGTCAAACATTCGACAGTACATGGAGTAAACTTAAAAGAACTTAAGCAAGGAACCACGAACCAGTTACTCCTACTTGTGTGTACTGTAGCAGCGTAGGCGTAGCATAGGAGATGAGATGTGCTTGGAGTTTCGTTTCGTTTCCCTGTTTTCTCTCTCCTCGGGAAGGCAAGGAATAAACAGTTGTTCGAGTTGGTGTGTCGTTTGCTGTTTTGGCCGGTTCCGCGACTGCAACTGGGCAGCTGCTGCTGCCTCTCAGTTCCTGGACCATTTCTGGATAAACTCGAGGAGCAGCTGCTGCTGCCTCTCAGTTCCTGATTAATGTTCTGGATAAAACTCGAGGAGCTAAATTCTGGATCACTACTGAGGGTTTACCGGACACTTCGGTTGATCGCTGAGGGTTTACCGGACACTTCGGTTCATCGCTGTCTCCTCAGGTGTCAAAGCTACCGTGATTTGTTTGATTGACAGATACTGTCTCAATATAATTGCACACCTCGTGAGAAATCAAATATGTGTAAGCTTAATGAAATACGGAGTATATATAAAGATATACTAATATTATGACATCAAAATAAATACTATTAAATTAATCACGTCATATGTTTTCATACTAGGTCTGATTTGGTATAGTACATTGTTCATCCATATTGTACCGTGATATTCTAAGAAAATGTAGATCAAACGAACTTAAATCTAGGATACCGAATTTTAATCAAATCTAGGATTTCAATTTTTTTACTGAGATACTGCTTTTTGTCATTTTGGGAGTGGAGGACAGAAAGAATAACCTAAGATGCATGTTTCTCCCTCACGCAAACAATTGATACGTGAAAGGATACGCATATTTTTTCCTTTTCTCAAAACATAGTTTGTAAAAGTATACTTTTACCACATTTGATAAATATCTGTAACAACAAAGTTCTAGTCATAACTGCGTGTGACGACTCAAGATAACATCACTTGTTTTGGGTGAAGGAAACAATCGATATCTATCGCCCTTTATATTCTCTCGGACCAGAAACACAAGCCGTATTCTTTTTTTCTCTAAATAAACAAAAAATCTCAGTGGTAGGACTGAGTAGCGACTAACCATCATCCATCAATAGGTGCAGCACACCCATCCTTCACCCGTTTGGACTAGTTTGGCTTATAAACCATGGCTGAAAGTACTGTTAGTTGCGTTTGGTGTGAGAGAAAAATACTGTTAATTGGATGATAAGTCATGACTTATAAGCCAAATACGACCAAGCGAACATATTGCTTCTACACGGTTTTCTATCAAAAGTACCAACCTCATTATTTTTTAGGTTAACATTCCCACGTCGCGGAAATTTTGTGCACTAGTGGACTAGGTGGTCCTCATGCGTGCTTCTCTTCTGTATAAATACTTATTGGAAACATATAAGTGGTGATCTATGACCTGTTTGTTCATGCAAAAAGTGCCAATACATATCATAAATCAAAGAATTACATACAAAAGTGCCAATACATATCGTAAATCAAAGAGTAACTTGGTAAGAAGTAATCTGGTACTACCATTTTTTAACAAAACAGATAAAAAAAGACAAACCTAGGAGTACGTAGACGGTTCCATTAAGAAGGGAAAATATGCACCCAAATTTGAGTTGAGGAGCACTCGAATCTACATGGTTGAGATACATAACCACACATTCTACCTATCCTGAAATTTAAGGTATTTTAAATTATCCTAAAATCAATTTGTTTTAAGTTTGATCGGGTTGTGGAAACAGAGTAGTAGTATTTATAATATCAAATTGTCATCATTAGATGCATTATGAGATGTATTTTTGTAGTTTACCTCTTTGTTGTGTTATCGGTATCCTTCTAGAAAAACTTAGTTAAACTTATACTCCCTCCGTCCCCGAATATAAGGAATGCACGTATTTTGAAATTCAAACTTTGTTATCTTTGACTAACAATTAGTCTAATTATATTAAAATTTTGTATTAGAAAAGTAGTTACATTAGATTTGTATTTTGAAGTATTTTTTAATGACTAAACTTTTGTTCCTACAAATTATATATTATAAGAGAAATTGTATGTCAAAATATACTCTTGAAGACCGCACCAA